TCCCTCCTTCCCTCCCCCACCTTCACCGACCTTCATCGCCATCAGCTCCTGCATGAGCACGGTGTTCTCCAGGTCAAGCTTCTTCCCTCCCTCCCTTCCTCCCTCCCTCCTTCCCTCCCCCCACCTTCACCGACCTTCATCGCCATTAGCTCCTGCATGAGCATGGCGTTCTCCAGGTCAAGCTTCTTCCCTCCCTCCCTCCTTCCCTCCCCCCACCTTCACCGACCTCCATCGCCATTAGCTCCTGCATGAGCACCCCGTTCTCCAGGTCAAGCTTCTTCCCTCCTTCCCTCCCCCACCTTCACCGACCTTCATCGCCATCAGCTCCTGCATGAGCACAGCGTTCTCCAGGTCAAGCTTCTTCCCTCCCTCCCTTCCTCCCTCCTTCCCTCCCCCACCTTCACCGACCTTCATCGCCATCAGCTCCTGCATGAGCATGGCGTTCTCCAGGTCAAGCTTCTTCCCTCCCTCCCTTCCTCCCTCCCTCCTTCCCTCCCCCACCTTCACCGACCTTCATCGCCATCAGCTCCTGCATGAGCACGGTGTTCTCCAGGTCAAGCTTCTTCCCTCCCTCCCTTCCTCCCTCCCTCCTTCCCTCCCCCACCTTCACCGACCTTCATCGCCATCAGCTCCTGCATGAGCACGGTGTTCTCCAGGTCAAGCTTCTTCCCTCCCTCCCTTCCTCCCTCCCTCCTTCCCTCCCCCACCTTCACCGACCTTCATCGCCATTAGCTCCTGCATGAGTACGGCGTTCTCCAGGTCGAGTTTCTTCGCGTCGGGCACAGACAGCGGCGGCTCGTCGCCGCGCGGCGCCGCCACGTGCACGCTCTCCAGCTCCATGACGGTCATGCGCACGGCGGCGCGGTCGGCGCGCAGCTGCCGCACGTAGTCGCGCAGACGCTGCTCGTCCATCTTTGTGAACTCCGTGTCGCACGAGCTCGACGTCGAACTCGTCGTGCTGCAGAAAAGGGGGGGGTCAAAGGTCGTGAGGTTACAAGGTGGCGAGGTCACGAGGTGGTGAGGTCACAAGGTGGCGAGATCATAAGGTCGCACGGTCATGCAGTTATGAGGTCACAAAGTGGTGATGTCGCGAGGTGACGAGGAGGCAAGGTCGTGAGGTCACGAGGTGGTGAGGTCACAAGGTGGTGAGATTGCAAGGTCGCGAGGTGACGAGGAGGCAAGGTCGTGAGGTCACGAGGTGGTGAGGTCGCATGGTCACAAGGAGGCGAGGATACGAGGTTGTGAGGTCACAAGGTCATGATATTGCAAGGTCACGAGGTTGCAAGGTCATGAGGTTGCAAGGTCGCAAGATTTACATGAATAGTGCCGGTTGTTTTTAACGAGTTTTCAGTTTTTTCATGCAATAGAAACGAATCTCTTTGATGCGATTAGAGTGCTCCACCCGACTTGACCTCAAACACATCACATCGCGTGCAGTACTGCAATTATGTTACACTCGTGTCGACACACAGATATTGGACAAATAAATTCGATGCGAGAAGTCGACACGAAAATTCGTCGTCGACAGATTTCACACGACGCCAAGCCGCCTTACCTCATCGTGTAACATATCTGCCATTAGGTGATACCACAGTCTGCTATATTTTTCCAGACTTTGCATTTTTTGAGCAATGATTTTGAAATCCCGGCTTTAAGTCGGCCTCACCTCGTCGTGTAACATATCTGCTAGTAGGTGCCACTACATTCTGCTAGATTTTTCTAGATTTTCGAGCAGTGATTTCGAAATCCTGGCTTCGAGTAGCCCTCACCTCATCGTGTAACATATATCTGCCATTAGGTGATACCACAGTCGGCTATATTTTTCCAGACTTTGCATTTTTGAGCAATGATTTTGAAATCCCGGCTTTAAGTCGGCCTCACCTCGTCGTGTAACATATCTGCTAGTAGGTGATACCACAGTCTGCCATATTTTTCCCAGATTTTTGAGCATTGATTTCGAAATCCCGGCATTCGAAGTCGCCCCTCACCTCGTCGTGTAGTCGTGAGAAGAGGACAGCTCCTCCCACGGGTGCGGCGAGCAGCCGGTGACGGCGGCGCACAGCACGCCGCAGTTACGGTCCAGCTGCTGCAGCAACTGCTTCACCATTGTCTCGGCGTGCCGGCGACCCTCCGAGAAACGCTCGAGCAGTGAAGCCACCTCTTCCTCGTCACTCTGCTCAGCGTTCTCTGCAATAGAGGGAGCGCGCGCTGAGCAAGGGCCGTGAAGGCGCCAACTGTTAGTCGCACGTCGAATTATACAGAGCACGCATTTATGAATGAATGACGCTCTGCAGAGCTATAAAGATATTTCTACAGATCTGTGAGTACGTTAAGGGTCGCGTTGAATAGCTATATACAGCCGTATACACGGGTGTGATTCAGACTACAAAAACCCTCACCATATGTGCACACTATGTATACAGAACTCTACATAACTCTCACTACATATGCACACTACGTACACAACAGTCCACATAACCCTTACTTCAAATTAACGCTATGTGAAGCACACACACGCACACACCCACGCACACGCACACGCTTAACGCTATGTGAAGCACACACACGCACACACCCACGCACGAACGCACGCACACACACACGTATGAATGCATGCACACACACAAACATGCATGCACACACTTACCCAGACTGCCAAGCCCAGCCGCTCTGCAATTGGCCAGCAGGAGTCCCTGCTCCGACTCCGACAGTGCGGTGAGTGCCTCGTACGCCTCGATCGCCTGATCCGAGTAGCTGACAGCCAACTGAAGTGCCGTGTTGTTCGACTCGTACTTTCCCATGAGAACAGTCAGTCTGAAAGGACGGGTTCTAAACTTCAGACGCGAAAAGGTTACCGAGACGGAACGACGTCACATGTAACTCGCTAGGAGCTTAAAGAGTGCAGTGGTTCACAGTTTACCATTACTCACGGTTTGCAGTTTGTCTGTTCACGTACCTCTCGCACTGGCTTTTGCTTTCCTCAAGGGTCAGGTTCAGGAGGTCATTTTGCGACTTCAGGTGTTCAATGCGTCCATTGAGTCTCTCTATCTCTACCTCAAACTCTTGCACCTAAAATTCCAAGATGGGCAAAATTTCTTTGTAAGAATCAGATGTTAACATATGAAGTTATGACACGTACTAGTAGTACATGGAGTCCATGTCTGTCAATGGAAACGCTGACCATGCCTCACAAAGAAACGATGAACGCTGAAGTCCATGCAATATCATGGATGTTGCTACAATCACCGACACACTTGGTAGAACCATGGTTCCATAAGATGGACAGGTAGTGTGATAACGTGCAGTGTATCTAGCTTGCCTTGCTCTCCGATACTGAAGATCCGTTCAATAACAGGCCGTGAAGGATCTCCTCGACATTGGAACCACCTTGAAGTGAGGATGCCAGGTGTTCAGCCACTTTAGCATTTGGCAGCTGTAATACACGACACATGCACGCGTCAAAACCACGTTTCCATGTTAATGTAGCTAGTCCAGTTTAGTACAGTCATGCGGCATGAACGTATAATAACTAATTCGGTATAGGCATTAAATACGTGGAACTGCCCAAGTTATTAAAACATTTCAATGCCATCCCATACATCTCAGGAATATAATAGCAAGGACATGCTGTTGACATGTTAAATAGTGAGTGGTACAGGCAGAGCACATCTCGATCACGTAGCTTTGCCAAGCGAAGCTGTAACCTTGACGACACATCTTAACAGCCCGCAGCACGTAGCTTCGCCGTGCGATGCCGTAACCATGACGATGCGTGAACACACTCACGCCGACGCTGGTGATCTCGGGACCGAGGATCAGCCGCTCTCCGTACTCATGCTTCTTCAGCTTCACACGCTCGGCAAGCTTCGCGACAGAGCCGCCGCCGCCGCCACCGCCGCCGCCGACCAGTGCCTCGTGTCTGTTATCTGCAGTAGTAGAGGCTATTACTTAGAAACTAATCATGCGATGAGATGCACGTATAAGTACACATGTCTATTGGTGAAATGTAAAATAGAAATATAGACTGTTCACACATCTGCACACGCACGCACATCGAATACAATACAGGTAAGAGGTAAATACAGGCGCTCCCCTACTTACAAACGTTCAAGTTACTAACTTTCAGAGGTACGAACAAACCTGTTAATAACAAGAACAAATGCCATCTACATCTACAGGAGGTTATACAACCTTTAAAGCCATTCCCAGTCCCTGTTCCTCAGACTTTAAGTAATACTGTTTAAGGCTGGTAAAATATACTGTCGAGTATTATTGGGGTATAGCTGTACTGTACAAACCTTTTCTTACAATGCTGTGTCCAGTATTCAGTATTTCTAAGAGTAATATTGGACTTCCGATCATTTGCACTTACAAACAAACCCCAGGAACCTACCCTGTTCGTAAGTAGGGAAGCTGCTGTATGCAAAGTAGAATGGTAGAAACCTTTTGAGACAATATATCTCTTTGTGTCAGGCTACGATAGGCTCTGGACTAATTCTGATTTGTCAGATTCACACGTCCTACAATCAGTGTAATGCTATAGCATACTTCATAGGTACTGTGAATACAAACCTGTCTGGCCCACGTGCTTAGTAGGCGACATTGACACACTACCAGGTTGACTGCTCACTTCAGACATATTCAACTGGTTCTGTAAGTCATGAGCCTATAATAAATAACAACATAAACATCACCACGTTTCTCATTTCCAAGCACATGACATAATAACGACGCAACATAAGGATGGCAGGATGTGACTATATTGCCTTTAACACTGCCAGGGTAGTTGACGCTAATCTGCTATACCTATGAACGTTATTCCGTACGTAAGTAATTTTTCCTAACCTTGTTTCGTAGCCTATCTCTCTCCTCTTGCACGCCACCCAGCGTCGCTTTCAGCTTATTTAATTCGGTCTCCTGTAGCCCCATCTGATACAGTATGGTCTGATTCTCCTGCTGCAGGTCATACTTTTCCTTCTGCAGTTGCTGCATGACAGCCTCTGCAAAACCTTCCTGCGCCTGTGATTCAACCCGTGGGTCAAACGTAAGCAGTTCCATCTCTTGACACACCTAAGCAGGAGGAACAAGGATATCAGTTCACCATACACTTTCCGTATAGCACTAAAACCAGCTTGGCATACGACAATCAAACAACTTTAAACACTGCTGTAAGTAATATCTACACGTAACCCCCTGATGAAAGCAATTCTTACCGAAACGAGTGAAGGATGTGACCAAGATACACAGATACACAGCTACAATTGAAATCACCTGCTCATAGAGTAAACCCATAGGATATGCAATACTAGTACGTCGTAAGACATTATAGTGATGTGTACTGACGGCTACCTGCTTCTAGCCTATATCTAGGATACAGTGAAGTAAGTGCATGGCTAATATTCGAGTTGCCTGCTTCTAGGCTACACCTAGCATGCAACACAGTAAGGAGAGCGCATAGCTACTACCTGAATTGCCTGCTCTTCTGCGTCGACAGCCCTGTCCAAGCATCCTTCATCACGCTTCGCCACCATCTCTGTTGTGAGCGGTGAAATGTGCTTCCCATCCTTGATAGCACTCTCAAGTTCTGTTACAACTCGGGACAGCTCGGCATTCAGGTCTGTGTGTACAGATGTCTCAATGACTACTCCACTCCAATACAATATACCAACTGATCACGAGAAATGTATATATCATTATAAATTCAATAAGAACTTTACATTCATTACTTTTTTTAAGTTTTGAAGATGTTTTGAGTGAGATTCTTTCTTTTAAATATCACATAGTAACTACTCTGAATGACTACTCCACTTCGATACAATACCAACCGATCACGAGTAATGTATATATCATTATAAATTCAATAAGAACTTTACATTCATCAATTCGTCTAAGTTTTTACGATGTCTTGAGTACGATTCTTTCTTTTAAATATCACATCGTAACCACTCTGAATGACAAACATTTAAAATGTAAAAACTGTTATCATCACTCAAAATCTGTGCTTCTTAATACAAATGCACATAAACTTGAGCAACTAATATATCAAAAGAAGCATTTATTACTAATATCAGGAGCTAATATCAATCATTATGCTTCACATGGGCTTTTTAAAATTGCCTTAATTTCATCATTGCCAGCAATTATTGCCTTTATTACATATATAACTCCTAAGATACTAAAACCTGTTTACCTTCATTTTCAAATTCACTTGGGTTGTTTTCGTTGTTATCTGGTAAACCACAATTACTTGGACAGCTGTGTTCTGATGTTTCATCTTCTTCCCTTTATAGAAAATGCCTTACATTAGATGAAAAGGATGAGAACTTATACTGATTAATACTACATATGCTAAGTGCAACAATATACTTTTACTGCTACTGATGTTAACACACACCACTAATAAGACCAGCCTGGGCTCCGGCACCAGCACTAGCACCAATACCAGTAGTAGCAGCAGCACTGGTACTAGTACCAAACAAGTGCCACAGAGCGACAGCACTCAACTGACGTGTACTGTAGCCAACTGTAGCCAAGTATTCTTCTGATAAACTCACTGGCAACCGAATCAAGTGCGTCCTCCTGCCACCGTTCGCGCTCAGAGCATATATCTAGGATACTACTAATACAGATCTAAAATCTATGATAGGCATTGCTATACCTACTGGTAGTACAGTAATAAAGATACAGCTGTGTAACTTTAATGACTTCCTTATATTAACATGTTATCATGGATATGCATCGAGCGCGAGCGTAGTGGTGGTGGTGGGGGAGGGTGGGTGGAGGTGGTGGAGGGAAAGGGGGAGGGTGGGGGATGGGCGGGTGGAGTTGGCTCTAATAGCAAAAGCAGTTAGTCCTTTGTTAACAGTCAACAAATCCATGTTTAACCCTCCTCTTGAGGGTCAAAAGGTTAACAGACACTTACTCTTCGCACGTCAGCGGAAACATTTCATGGTCCTTTCAATAAAGTGATAAAAAGCGTAGGTCAACGCTGTAACAAAAAAGTTTTGCACTTGGTCCGTTAGACCATGTCCTCAGAAAATGTCTGATATCTGACCTTTGCCCACTGCCCTTTGACCTCCAATTTCGCGCTGGTGATGGGTTTTCTCCCATCACACTATACATCGAATATTAAGAGCGTAGGTCAAGCCGTTGAGATTTGTGCCGCAATTCGTATTTCCTCCTATACCTTAAGTTAAGGGGAAATATTCCCCTTCCATTGACACATCTTGACCTTTGACCCTTGACCCCAAATTCGACATCCAGTCCTTTTGGCGATCCCCCTGATGTCCCAAATATCAAGACCGTACGTCGAGCGGTTAAGATTTGTGCCCAACTGTTGACGAACGACGAACGGACAATCATGCGATTCTACAAGCTGCATCTGACTTCGTCAGCTGAGCTAAAAAGCATCAGTACCAGGTATGCATAGATGCCACAACTAGATACAAGGCAACAAGTAAATAATAATAGCCCATAGATAAAGCCAACATAATAGCCAATCGAGCAAACGAAGACGGGATTGTCCAGAGACGCGTCGCCATCTGGAGCGTCGCATGCTGCCCCAGCGACCGCCGCCTCACCTGATGACGTTCGTGTAGCGATCGCTGAACTTCTTCCTCAGCTCCGCGATGACGCTGTGCAGCTCTACGAGTCGCTCCTCGTGTCGTATCGCCTGGTTGTGAAAGCGCCTCTCACTCCCTGCATCGCACACAGCACATCTCCAGCTGAACGCGCGGGGAAATCACACACACACACACACACAACTCATTAATTACACGTTAAAGCCATATTTCAATAATTATCTAGTGTTTTCCCCACTTGTATGACCGTTTAATTACCTACCGTTATTGCTTGAGTAACAGCAACTGTCTAGAGTAACGATAAAATGTATTAGAACCTTCGTATTCACCAAAACATGCAAGTTTGATTACCAGCGAGCCTTTCCTTGTAATCTTGGCCTGTTAGTAGCGCTAATAGCACAAGCTATCATCCATACTTACACGTCTCTCGCATAATCTCGTTTGCCACCGACAAATTACAAGTTGATACATTTTGACAGTTCCCGACATGATAAAATTTCAGTGTGTTACGATGTGTTCATACCCATTTTCTCTATGCTATAGAACTGCGTAAAATCTAAGTGTGTTTTCAAGTTAGTGTAATCAGTGATATATTCACTGTGAGGTGAGACTATATTTCGCTATATTTTTTAGGATCGAGCGTTTCTGAGCAAAATTTCGTAATAAAAACTTTAAACGCAGATAGTAAAGTGAAGGTAACATTTACATGCATGTAACGTCACACAATTGAATTCACATACAACGTATGAATCACCGAATAAGTGAACTCACTAACATAGTGTGTTCAAGTAATCGACCAGTGCAATACAAAGATGAACGATATCATAGTCGATCACTAAATTATTCAGCCGTTTTAAAACGAAATGTACTTTTTACCTGCGTTTCTTTAAGTGTTTTTTCGATAGCATTTTTCTCACATGTGGCTGCTGAGGTGTGTCAGACAGCTTGATCACCTTAGTTGACAAGGCAGCGACTTTCTGCAGTCTGAAACTGGAATCGTTGAGGCCTCTCAAACACCATCTTTAACATTTATAGTGTGTAGCAAAGTGTACATTAACGAGCTTCAGTTAAATTTGCACGGTAGGCTTTACAAATGGCATCGGGGCAAATTTGATTTGCAACTTTGCCATAATGTCTTAAATATAAATTCAACAGTGCTATTGCTAGTATATAGCTTTATAGATAGTGTAGAGACAAGGTACATGTTGATGATATTTCACGAGAGCAAAAATTACGGCTAGTGATGTTGAGATATGTAAACAAATCAATTTGAAATGCAGATCGTGCTCATATAGCTGAAAAGAAAGATGTGTGATTGTTCTATCACATGTTAGCCTTACCATATATACACTTGGTATTATGGCAAGGAGTACAGGTAAGTATCAGAATGGCCGAGAAAACATGAAAAACGGTTAAAAAATAAAACTTTATTAGGGTAATATTTATGCTGCATGCAACAATTATAAATGTAATATATACGCTGCATTTGTCTATCCATTATTTTTTAGCTTTGAGGAAGGAACTCATAATTTCAAGCTATAGATTCCATGCGATTGTTACCTGGCTTTCCACCAGTCTCCTGTGTAAAGCTGTGTGGTACCTTTGGCTCGTGACAGGAACCTTGATCGTGATTGACGTTGAGTGAGTTATCCATATCTAGGTAATTATTAAATGAATCCATAAGAAAACAGAATAATCAAGCATTATTATTTCAATACTAGGACATTTTAACAGACCTTTTAGCAGAGTTCAAAAATTATGG